AACTCCATAGCTCATCATTTGACCGAGATGTCATTGAAAACATGTAAAAGTGGCCCCTTTTTCCAAACTCACATTTTGTCGGAAATATAAAAGATATCAACGTGATTCTATTCACACTAATCTTATTATATCTATGTTCTGCATAACAAATATTGTAACAAACATTTGTTAGTGCATGAAAATGTGAAAATAATTTTTTATTTTCCACTTCCTACCAGTGAGGTTTTTGAACTACTTTTAAATTAGCATTATTAAAGCTTGTACACTTTTCTTCTGTTATTTAAAATTTTATTTAAATCTAGAAGGAACTTCATGGTCAAAAGTTGCAAAAACTTAAGCTAGTACACGCGCTGCCGGTACAAGAACACCCGTATAAGTTCGATTTGCAATATATTATCTCATTAAATTTAATAATACTTGTAGTTCATTTGTAAAAAACTGCTATTTTTTATAATATTTAATAGTCTAGTTTAATTCAATCACATAAATGTACCACAAATAGCGTACTAAAAAAAGGTTGAATCGGCTATGTAGTATAACTATTATCAAAAGTACCCAAGTATCCTCTATCTTTAACTCTGCTAAATAAACCGTAATTCCCATCAAATATTTGAACTGCCAAATGTTCGCGAAAACGGCAAAAGGTCAAAGTATCTACTGTTTTGTTTTCTGTTTATTAATTCTTGTTCTGTATAATCAGCAATAAAGACCCAGAGTTTTCTTCCTCTGAAAACTTTTATTCGAATACATAAACAGAAAGTGGTATGGTTGAAGTAATTGAAATATTTATATAGAAATTATGTAATGAAAATGAAATTTTAGTCAAATTAGCAGAACAGCTTATTAAGATATGATCGCTGTTCAAAAAAAAAAAAAAATAAAAAAAATAAAACAAAAAAAAATTAAAAAAAACCTTATCACGGATAATGAAATTGATAATAATTGCTGAAAGGCAGCCATAAAATAAGAAGCATATAGTTAGAGGTTTAAAAGTTAGAAGAAGTATTAAAGTTAGAATATCAAATTTAGAATAAAAGCAGAATGAAGACATGTAAAGAACAATTCATAAATAAAAAAGCAATACTGAAAATTATATTTTAAAATGAATATACTGCTAATTTTCTTAATATGTCTGAAAATGCTTAGAAATAGCACAAATTACTAATAATCCATAATAATATAGAAATATGAAAAAAATTTAACCCTCCAAAAAAGTTATATAACACAGCTAAATCATTATTTTTTTATTATATTATTTTAAAGTGCATCCCCGAATTGATTGATGCGTCTGTTCAAAATATAACTAAGTTAACATCATCCTTCAAAGAATATCAAACAAAAACATTCCTGAGAAAATGTTTTACCGAAAAGTTTCTAAAGTTTATACAGGTTTCTACGGCAACCGTCCAGCCTGCAAAGAAAAGTTGATTTGCATGCTGGAAAATTAGATGAATTTTCTGAAAAAAGAATATTTCATAATAATATTCATAGGAAAAACTAGAGACTGTCTAAAGGCAAGAGTTGAAAAGAGAACTTAAAAGAAAATGCGAATGCAAAATTATGTTGTAATAATTTACATTTTTATTTAATACTGTCTGCTTTTCAAACATATGTTTATATGAGCTTGAGATAATTTTGTCGTAATATTTATTTCTCTGCTAATGGTATTCAAAAGAAATAAAATTACATTCTTTTCTCGAATAAAAGAAAGCCAAGAAAATATAAAGCTCTAATTCATTGGTAGACAAAAACTTGGTCATTTAGTATTCATTGACTGTTATCATTGATAATAAAAAGACTATTACGTAGGGCGTCAACATAATTAGTTTCTGACGTGATGAGGACGTGATGAAAATGGTAATCATATATTTTGGTATGAATTGCGACTAAAAATAATTTGTTTCATAAAAACAACATCTCCTGGTATTATGGAATTTATATCTCTGATTATCCTCAACTCGTTGTACTTAGGTACATAATTAGACTAAAATCCAATTTCATAGCAAAGCGTTTGAATTTTCTGCTAAGACTTATTATTATTATTAGTATTAAAATTAATATTGCTATTATTATTACATATTTTTATTACTTTTTCAGCTGACCATGATCGACAAACGCCATTGGACGGAGGCAAAAGAGCCCGCGAGATGTTCAACTTCGGCTTAGGCAAACGCACCAGAAATCTTTATGAATTTGGGCTTGGAAAAAGGAGTATGCGAGAATATGCTTTTGGTTTAGGCAAAAAATCAGACAGACCCCAACTGCGATCCCCAATGTACGAATTTGGACTCGGAAAAAGGACCCCAGGATATAATTTCGGTCTAGGAAAAAGATTGAGGACGTACGAGTTTGGATTAGGTAAACGAGTACCAGGATACGATTTTGGACTAGGAAAAAGGATGCCGAGTTATGACTTTGGTTTGGGAAAAAGGACGCCGAGTTATGATTTTGGTTTGGGAAAGAGGACACCGAGTTACGATTTTGGTTTGGGTAAGAGGACGCCGAGTTATGATTTTGGTTTAGGCAAAAGGACGCCAAGTTACGATTTTGGTTTGGGCAAAAGGACGCCCAGTTACGATTTTGGTTTGGGCAAGCGAGTGCCGAGTTATGATTTCGGATTGGGCAAAAGGAGTCCCAGTTACGATTTTGGTTTGGGAAAAAGGAAACAGTACGAGTTTGGCTTGGGTAAGAAGAGATTGTATGAATTTGGATTGGGCAAACGAGTTCCCAGCTACGACTTTGGTTTGGGAAAAAGATTGCCAGCACGTTACGACTTTGGAATGGGTAAACGATTGCCATTATATGAATTTGGATTAGGCAAACGATCCGACGATTTCCAGGCGGAAGATGTCGAGTACGATTCATATGATGATTTAGATAAAAGAAATCAAAACTACGGACACAAGAGGTTACATGAATTCAATTTCGGTTTGGGAAAACGGACGACCGACGTTTCGGAAAACGATGACGATCCTACTACTAGTCAATGAATAAATCTATTTCTAATTAAGGGTGCGATGTGTATAGTATTCTTTCATTCAAAACAAATAACAAGAAGTCAATGAAGTGGTATTTATATGTTCCTATAATGTTTTAATGAAGATGCCATGCTTTTCCAATTTATAAGCAAAAGAAATATGATGATTTGGCAAACGATGTATTTGAATCATTTTTTGATGATAATGATGTATTTATTGTTATTAATATGCATGTATATAATATAACTAAATAAAGCAAATATATGTATTTTTAATTAACATATTTTAATTCTGTGTTCTTTATAAACACCAACACCATAACACCACGTTTACAGGTTTAGTAGAATAAACAAAGATTTTTTATATTGCTCCAGAGATCCTAATTTCAGGAATTAATTAGTAAAATTGTTTCAGTAATTGTCTGCCAATATGACCAACTGTTTATGTGAAATCATAATTTTTGTGAAAAATAAACTTCAAGATTAATAGCAAGTAACTATGTAAGGTAGAATTTTTTTTTATTATTAATTAATAAACAGCAATCAAAATTACATAAAATTTTTGGTAGAAATAAATAACAATACATTTATATTTAGTTAGTTTAATCAAAATATTTATTGATTACACTTGAATGAGTCTATAATGAGATATATGGATAATTACCGATTCATTGGTTTATAATTCCATATCTCGTATAAATTTAATGTCAAAATTTCATTATTCAAATGATATGATATTTTAAGTGGCGGCACTTGCGGAAGCTTGATTTCTGTAAAAAGATTTTATTATTGAAGAATTCATGTTTGAATCCATTAAATATGCGTACAGCATCAAAGGTTTATATATTTGATTCGGTTTATATATGTGGTCCGTAGTTGCTTTGAAACTACAAACGTGGCAGTAGCATTTTCAACGAATAGCAGAGAATTTGTGTGAGTAAATCATCTACATAATAAAAATAAAATAAAAATATTTTAATATTAAAGTCTAACCTAGATAAATTACCTTTTTAAGCATGGAAATTCCCAAAACTTCTGACCTTTGAAGAATGTTTCACCGTCGGCAAGTGTTTGAGGCAATTCTCTTCCTGCAGTTTCAGGAAGAAGTAAACACAAAAATGCAATAGTTATTGCTATGCCACCCAATATAAACAAAGGCAATGCGAAGAACACATCAGCCTGCAAATTTTACAAATTTTATAACTGAAGACATGTTGTAGAAATTTAGTGATGTGCCGACTGAAAAAATTCCTGAATCGAATGATTCAAACCAGAATAAAATCTGATTTAAATTATAAGTCGAATCAACTCAAAAGATGATTCAAATCAAATCGAATCAAGCCTAAATATGGACAAACATAATCTAAGACAAGAAAAACTCAATTGGTGTACTTATTTAGAAAACGTGATCAAAATTTATGATAAAAATTGGTAAGTTTAAACATAAACTCTCAAAAAATATTTTATAAAAATTTTGATAACGGTTGAAATATATTTTCAAATTAATTTACAATAATGGTTAACCGAACATACTTCTGCATCACTAAAGCATGTAAAACAGGATTTAAAATCTTGCTAGTATTTCATTGTTGTAAATTTTCCATTAGTTTTGTAATAAAAAGTTACGTATGAATTATGTTCCGCCTTCTGGTGTTTATTAAATATTTAGAAAAATTATATATTGTAAAATTTAAATTAATTTCATTGTCTTGAGTGGCTTATTGTGATAATATTTAAAATCTATACTACATGTATGAAAAAAACAAAAATAAAAGACCGATTCTTTTGCATAACAGACCAATGTTATGGAAGGCTATGTTATGAAGAACTTTCCATACAAATTCGTTATAAATATTGACAGGAGCCACGTGTGCAGTCAGGCTTTTTGCTAGGTTGTCAGATAGAAAACCTAACCTAGAAACCTCACAAATGTAAAAAAAACGATCTTAGATAACAGGGTATTTCTGATCCAGCTTCATAATATATGACAGGGCCATGCAATGCCCCAACTTCCATACATTATACTACTAAATCATACTGAATACTGTCGAAATGTCATGTATTTGCTGTGCATTCAGGAGTTTTATACATAAACTGCAACGTCACTCGTATGTTATGAATCTGAGTCAGAAAGACCTGGTTATCCAACATCGTTTTTCAACATTTTTATGGTTTCTAGGTTATGTTTTCTATCTGACAACCTGAAATAATCGTCTGACTGCACAGTAACCGCATGGCTTTTGTCAATATTTAGATCAAATTTGTATAGAAAGTTCTTCATAACATAGTCTTGCCATAACATTGGTCTGTTATGCGGCAGAATTGGACTCATAATCAAAAGTTTAAATGCAATAAATTTAAAAAAAAAATATTATTAGTACCGATTGTGATATGAATGGCGTCACCATACTGGCGGTGCTTCCCATGACCATAATAAAAGTCATCCCTTGGGCTCGGACTACGGTGGGTATCAACTCAACGGCATATTGTAAACCGATGTTGAACGTTATGTTTATGAAGAATCTGCTAATTATGAACAGACTTGCCGAGGGCACCCCTTTGAATAAAAAATTATATTTATGAAAAATATAATATTTGCTATTTAATTTGCAATGTAAGTGTATTACACATCATCCATGACATGATTCTTCTATTCTGAAGTGACCATTATTTTGATTTTTTCATGAATAAATCATTTACTCACCAATTGGAACACAAGCAGCCAATAAACCAAATACAGCGCAACCCATGAGCGTCACAAAATTCATCCATCTCTTACCAAAATAGTCGAGAGTTACAATTAAAAGTAAATCGGCTGGAGATTCCGTAGCAGATGCTATAGTAAAAGATAGATAATATTTCCAACCTGTATTTTCTAAATTTTTCACATGTCCATCATAAACTATAGAAACTCCTATCCAGACAATTATTATTAGCAATACATTTTTCCTTAATTCTGGAGCGCGGAATAGATCTAAAATTGTGTATTTATGTCGTTGCATCGATTCATCTATTTGTTGGCCAGCCTAATAATAGAAAAATACATATTGTTTGCATAGTATAAAACAATAATTAAATTTAATAATAATAATAATGTGAGGTATTTAAATATATTGTTTGTTGGATACACACGATGAACTCTTCGTAAAGACGTTCATCAACCACTTTTCTATTCACTCTTGCAATTCTTCGAATTATTTTCATTCCTCTTTTTACTTTTCCTTGGGACAACAGCCATCTGTAATGGACACAACAATATTATTAACTTCCCGAAGGAGAAGATTATGTTTTCATCAAAAAATTCGATTCGCTAATTTTATGTTTTCTCGGCGTTTCAAGCCATTCTGAATCGAATGAGACCAAATTTGGAAAACGTGTGTGTGTGCGTGAACAGATTTTTCACCGTAAATTGACGTTATCTCAAACTTGATTTTAAATTGATTTTAAAAATTCAAAAACCGTTTGATAAATATAGGTTGAGAATCGTGCTGGTTAGTTTTTGATAAAGATTCGCTGGAACACGTTCTTATAATTAACTGTTGAAAAAATTGTTTTTGAAGATTTTCATGATTTTTTTTGGCGATTGATATCATGGTCTTCAAGATCATACTAACATGTTACGGCCCTACGACAGCTCGTTTAACTTTGAAATTTTGTCAAAGTTTTAAAAAATTGGTCGTGTTTTTTGACGGTTAGATTTTTGATACAATCGGATGAGCCGTTTTTTTGTAATCAGCAGAAAAGTGAAAAATTTTCCATCCACGTTTTAGCCAAAAATTTTGAACCGATTTAAAAAATTTAAAACTATTCGAAAGATATTTGGGAGTCGTGCTGAATAGTTTTGGACAAAGATCGGTCGAGCCGTTTTTTCGTAACTAACTGTAGAAAGATTTTTTTCATAAAACTTTTTATGTTAATAGATATCATGGTCCTGAACAACATACTAAAATTTTACGTTTCTACGACAAGTAGTTTAATTTTAAGAATTCATCAAAGTTTGAAAAAATATTATAGTCAAAATTTGTATCAAAATGTGCTTTTGTGATGTGACGAGTCAAACATTATCAATTCATTAAAATTAATAATAATGAGCTACTAATTTTAGGACATACAAGTGTCTGTGTACTATAAAATAATTACATGTTTAGATTCAATTGATAGCAATACTTTTATTTTCCAAATAAATAGTTGAAAATTTCATCTAAATATCTCAAATTCAGTTGATTAAGTCAATTATTACACATTTCGAGAAGTTCGTGCAACTTGCCTTAAGGATACATGTCACTTTCAACTATTTTTTCTGTGTGTTAGAGATTTTAATCTATATTACCTGGCCGACTCTGGTATAATGAAAGGAACTAAAAATCCAAAAGCCATTGGCATAGCCGTTATAAGAGTAAATTTGCGCCAGTCGTCAATGTAGGCGGCAAGCCATGCCATTGAACAGGTGGCTGTGGCAAAAAATACACCAAGTGCCATATTTGTTACAAAAGTACGCCATTTCGGTCCGGTGTATTCCAATACTAAAAACGAGATTATTCTATTAATAAGACACAGAATCAAATCAATTTTTTACTTTAAATTTTAAATGATCAAGTCTCACCCAGTATATACATTATATTGAAACAGGTATCGCTAAATCCGCATATGAACCGAGAAATTATCAATTGCGTAGCATCCTGAGCATATGCCGTGAACAAGCTTGCTACAAATCCGACCAGGGTGCTAATGGTCAATGCGATGACTCTGCCAAACTTGTCTGCAACCCATCCAAATAACAAACATCCGAGAGATGATCCCAAAAAGTACACGGCATGAACAGTAGATCCCAAATGGCTTCTTTCACAAACCAATTCCATCTAACAAACAGAAAAAACGATTGCTAAGTAAAAAAATTTCAATATATGGTATATGCACGTATATGCATCATATCTTCATTATTTACTAGGGTTTATACAAAAACCGACATTTCAGAAAACCGGTTTTAGAATTTCAATTTTACTAAAAAACCGGTTTTAGTCGGTTTTCGAATTTTATATAGAAAGTAAATTTTTGCTCGAATATTTATCCGTAATTTATCCGTAAATTTAGTGTCATTTAGAGTAGTATTTGACTGAATTTATTTAATGTTCAATTTTATGGATAGTAAACAAAATTATTTTAATTTTAATTAGTAGAACTTAAGATTAATAGTTTATCTTGATTAAATAACTTTGAAAATAGTTATTCGTTATTCATGCATCATTTTCACATATAAGAATGAAAATATTTTTATGATAGTGAAAGGAAAGTTTTCGAATAAATAAAAATAATTCAATTTTAAATAAAAAGCATTCATTAAACAAAAAAAAATAAAATAAAAAAATGTTAGATACATATTGATACATACTTGTTAATATCAATTTTAGTTTTAAAAACAATTAAGCTAAACTTGGGTATTGTCTGTTCTAAGCAATTTTAATTAATTAATTTTGAACATTCTAATTGTTTTTTTGTTTAATAAAATATGATTTCAAAAAACTTAGAAGGTCTATCGAATTGCTACTTATTGATATTGATCACAAATTTTCCTGAAATAGAAAATACTCTCATACTTGCGACCGAATTATGCTTAATTGTTTTTAAATCCTGATATAATAATTCTAAGTTTTTGTTCTTTTATTTGTGGCTTCTAGGGCTTAAAAATCTTTTTTTAACTTTGAGTAGAGGAAGTTACTTCTTCAAGAAAAAGTCACACTGATTTAAATTAATATATACACTGGTATAAAAATCTAAATTAATATATATAAAATCTTTCTGGGAACCATTGAAGAATGATAAGATATCAAAACGCTTTCATCTATCTTTCATATTTGGCTATATTTGTCATATTCCATTTATACAGTGAAAACCGACTTTTTTCACTAAAAAACCGGTTTTCAAATTCCATAATTTTTGCCAAAAAACGGTTTTTAAAACCAGTTTTTGAAAACCGACAAACCCTATTACCTCGACACCTGCTGATGGATAAGTAATATCACTAAAATCGTACTCCCACCCATGATCGCACGCTATCACTGGCCATGAAGTATTGGGAGTCATGATCATGGTTCCATTTTCATCCACATTTGCTGTAAAATTGACATCATATCTTAAACAATTTTCGTACTCGAAAACAACGTCAGAGTCATCACGAGGAATAGCTAATTTCAATCTGCGAAGACAAAAAATCTGACGAGAACTGAAGTTTTACTGATAAAAACTGAAGTTTCATATTAAACAGACAAGTTTCATTTCGAAAACCTTTCATCTGGTGTGAGATGTCCTAATTCAGGTATACGACACCAATGTCGATCGGGGACAGGTACAATAAACATTATGGAAAAATAACCGTATGCTTGTATAAAACCGTATGGAAGCATCATGAAGAAAAGTATTATTTGGCAAAATCCAAATTGTCCAATATGAGGCAGAAGTTCGTCGAAATCCATTGGTCGACCTCGTGCTCCTAAAAATTAACAAAAATGTAAAAAAAAATTAAAAGCATTTATTTAATAATTTTTGATAATAATACTTTGACCAGCTCTACTTGCATCTTCAGCCATAATTACTAGTCAAATTATAGAAAAATTAATTAGTTTAGTTCACATAAAAAAATAATAGTTAAATTATAAAATGTGATATGACATTTTAAATTTCCGTTGATTTTGTTTTGATTTTAGTGTATAATTTAATTTTAGTTATATAAAAAATTAAACGCTAGAGCTTAATTATAGATCGTAATATTTGCTTGTATAGTGATACAAATAGCTATGCATAACTTGGTAACATATAACAAAGTTAAACCATATTTAAAACATGCAATAAAAATTTAGTTTCTAATTATTTAATTAACCAGTGGTGCATGTCATCGTGCCTTATGGCAAATTGGTGGAACTTCCCGAAACGTAAAGAAATGTTCGAGGCATATTAAATGTTTTCAAATAGTTTATTATAAATACTGTAACATCGTCTAATTTTTAAGAATTATATAAACTGAATTGCAAAGTTGAAATTATTTGTTTAAACTATGTTAGAACAGAATTAAAATAAAAATCTAAATTATTTTCGATATACAAAAAAATTTTTTTTTGAAAAAAAAAATTAAGTCAACTTTTTTTCGAAAAGCAATTATTTTGTTGAAACAAACATCAAGTTTTTTGAATCATTCATATCGGATTATAGTTCTCTCAGAAACTGCTATTTTTTGTACATTTAGCTCTGTATTTTTAAAATGGTTGGATTTACCTTTGCCAAAAACTAATCACCTTCTCCCAATCATTACAAATTGAATGTTTTTTGGATCATTCAAATCGGATTCTCCGTTCTCTCAAAAACTCGATTTATATTTTCTGCACTCTTTGCTCCGTATATCCGTAACGGCTGGACCAGCCTTTGCCAAAAACAAATCAGCACATCTCCCTATCAATAGGAAACGAATGTTTTTGGAATCATTCAAATCGGTTGCTCCGTGCGCCCGAAAACGTGAACAAAAAAATGCGGACACACAAAACACACACACATACACACATCAATTTTTTCTGAGGTATGCTAAAATGTTCAGAAACCTCTGAAACGTAAAGATATGCAAACATTTTTATTTTCGATTTTCGGCCCATTGTTGGTAACTAAAATAACCTAAAAATAGTTGAAAGATAAGATAAAATGTTTTCAATTAAGATAAAATGAGATGCATGCACTGAATAAACTTTTTACCTTTTTTATTAAATTCTACGCATGCGATTTTTTATAAAATAGAAGTATCATAAGGCCAATTACATAAGCTTTTTTTGTACATGTACAATGTTTATATTTATAGGTGTTAAAAATGTTTATTTGTATATTACAAACAGACAATCCAATTCTATTGCAAGTTGTCTACCGATGTTGTTTTTATTATGTTTGTCATGTTTACACTTGTGTAGACGCAACTACCTGATTCTCTGCTGATTCTGCCGCAACGGTTTTAGAATCCCATCTATGATTCCATGATTTCATGTCTCAAATAAATGTACATTTGTCAAGCACTTATTCCTGTATGCCAATATTGTTTTTACATTTTTTTCATATTTACACTTGTGTAAATATAAACCACCTGAATCTCTGCTGATTCTGCCGCAAGGGTTTTAGGATCCCATCTGTGTTTCCATTATTCCATGTCTCAAATAAATCTACATTTGTCAAGTACTTATTGCTGTCTACCAATGTTGTTTTTATCATATTTGTCATGTTTACATTTGTGTAGACGCAACTACCTGATTCCCTGCTGATTCTGCCGCAAGGGTTTTAGGGTCCCATCTATGATTTCAAAAATTCGATGTCTTTGTTTCTGCATTGTCTCCAAGGCACTGGTCGTTGCAAGAACTTTTGGGGAAATAATATCTAGTAGCATGCAGGTCTTGAAATTGACTCTTTTTAACCACGAAGAAGAGACTGAATGTCTGATTAAATAGAAATGTTGTTTTACGGGTCTATGATGGTATAGATTGATAGTCACAAACTGCCAAATAAACTGTATTTGCTCTCAATGTACTACTTCTAAAACCTAACCTCAAAAAAACTACACTTTACGCGTGTCAATAATTTCACTTCTGATAAAATTGTTATGTGATATATGTGGCTTTTGGAGGTTAGGTTCATATCCCATAAATTTATTGAATGTTTTAATTAAAGAATAATGTAAGCGTTATTAAATTTAGGTTGATTTTTTGTGTATTTTTTTAACAGTTGAAGAATATCGTAGATGTTCGGAAAACCACATGGACAATTCGTTCACCGTGGATGATAATCTACCAGCCTCATCTATAATTGGAATACAATGTACCAGAAAATTTGCATTTGCAGGGTGAGTGCTTTGAATATTATAGATTTGATGGTAAAGTGACTTGCTAAAATTTATTCCACACAAAGTAACATTACTTTAGAATACTAAGTATCTTTTCTACTAAATAATGTTTCTTAATAGCTTAAATATTTAAACACTGTATATTATTACATTTTAATAATTAGATTTTTATTCTTAAATTCAATACACAGCACATCAATATTTTCACTAACTATTTTATATCTGTAACCATATTTACATTTTAATGTTCGATTGTGCTTACACTTAGTTTAGTTTAGTACACATTTTTAGATAATAATAATTTTTCTACATCACAATATACAAATATTTTTATATAATATATTATACGATATTTATTTTAATAAACTTATATAAAAGTAAATTTGCAAGACATTTAAGGCACATAATTAAAACAAAATTAATATCAACTTGTGTTTGAATTCAGTTTCAATTTCAAATCGAATACGAAATGTAAACAAAGTAAGGGCACAGTTTGTTTGAAAAACTGTTTGTCTAAAATAATATGTTCACGTAAATTTTTCAAATGGACGATTTTATATAAAATATTTGATTGCATAACTATAGGTTAATTACATTGATTATTCTTTTATTACTAATGATAAGAGATGGTCTCCAGCCATAAGCATCTAAAATTATTTA